TTGTGAGAAAAGAGAAATAAAACTAAAAAGACACAAAAGAGAAGAGAAAAAGAAAAAGAGAAAAAAGTGTAGAGAAACTTAAATTAGGGTAAAGTTAAGTATGTTTTGTGAAGTTGTCTTATTATTTTTTATTTATATTAATTATTAAATAAAAAATTTATTTTAAGTGGGCGTTTAAAAATATATAACAAATAAAAATTTTTAAAAATTTTGGGGAAGCCAATAAGAAAATATATATATAAGAAATAAATATTTTAAAAAATTTTAGGGGGGCCATGCATTGGCTTACCCTCCACCCCTGGGAGTCACCTATTCCAACATCACCGAACTGCTAGTTATTCGGAATGCGCTTCAGATTTTTGTCACCTCAAGGCAGAGGCACAATCATAAATATCATCCTAGAGAGTGACTATGATAATGCAGTGAAATGGAGTTTGCAACCAGAGTATGCTCCATGGAGGTTAAGGGGTGTCATCATAGAGATAGAAACAATAAAAAAGAGCCTAAATGGCTAGAGCATTTGATAGATCCCAAGATCAAACAATGAGGTTACTGATGAACTTGCAAAAAATGGAGTTCTGCGTGAAGAGGATTTGCTATGGGTCAACAGTGAGATTAGTACTAATGAGTAAACGTAACAAAGATTTGGGAGGGAAGAGACCACTACTAAATGAAGGGGTGAGAAGGGGGTGGTGGAGCTTTGAGTTTTACTGGTTTCTGGTCAGCATCAGAATCTTTTTGTTTTGCTAGTTTTGCTTGTGTTATACATTGTAACTTACCTATGTTATACCTAAATATGTATGGTGTAATACCTATCACAAAAAACTTTTTACATTATACTTACTTTATTATGTTGTAAAAACATTTATATCTATTAATTTATAGTTTTACAAAAATAAATAAGTAAAATATCATTTTATTTTTGTATAATTGTAGTTATAACCTTGGGGTTTATTTAATAAATAAAGAATAAAAGTAAAGAGTTAGGCATGGTGGTAAAGATTTTAGTGTGAAGAAAGACGTTTTAACAAATAAAGTAGTTTTTTTTTAGTTGGAGTTAGTTTACATTGTCACGTTAAAAAGAAATATTGTCAGTTTTATCTTATCATATTTTAAAAAGGAAAACAGTCAATTTTATCTTTTCACGTTTTAAAAAGAAAAGTAATCAGTTTTAAAAGTAGTCAGAAGAAGTTAACAGTAGTTTTATATTATTAGAGGCGACCGTCAAAAGAAGTTAACCTTAGAGAAGAAGAAAGATAGAGAAAGAATTTAACCCTAGCGAAAAAGAAAGATAGAGAAAGAGGAAAAATATTCAAAGAAGCGATGATTAAGGTATGATCAAGTTTTGTATTTTTCATAGTTTGAGTACAAAGTTTAGTGTACGTTTCTTCAGCTTTCATTCAAATATGATATTCTTTCGATTATTTTCTAGCAGCATGATGGGTACCAATGGAAAAGTATTGAAAAGATCTTTCTAATGGTTTTGTAGTACCTAATTTGGTTAAGTGGTTAGGGAGATATGAATTTTTAAAGTTGACTGGGAAACCCATTTTTCAAAGTTTTTGACGATCTAAATTTTGGTCACCAGAACTTCACATTCCAATCATGTTTTGAGTCAATTCTTTAGGTGGTTTTTGTAGTATGAAATGTGATCTTTAATTTGGTGCCAATAGCTTTGTTAGGGGCTTTTTATGTTAAGAGAACTAAAGATTCAAAGTTGGCTAATTGAATCCGAAAACCTAAAAAATTGAGTATGTTTGTGATAATTTTCAAACTTTTAGCTGCTGTAACTTGTGAACTTTTCAACTTTTTTCATTGAAACAAATTCTAATGTTATAGTATGATGTGAATAATTCAAATTTATCTTGGGTTTATCACTAGAAACAATTTTGGTTAAGAGTGACAAGAGCTCAAAATAGGTCATATGGTTATTCAGACTTTGAAAATTTCAAAAATTAGAAAATTTCTTTTTAATTTGCATCAAAATTAAATTTCAATTAATGTTTGATAAATTTTGCTGTAAAGTTTCATAAATTTTGGATATGTGATTTCTACTGAATTTTTACATATATATATATATTATAAATATATTTCTCATGTTAGTAGATTTTATAAAAATGTTGAAATTAAAGAAAAACTTACAAATATGATTTTTACATGAAATTAATATTAGATTTCTAT